CCAAGCCCCTGATCTGACAATTCTCTCAGTACTAATTCCGTTAGTGACCATTCTAATCATTGTCGCATTGGCATATCTACCAATGACAATGTGCAGTGGTGTTAGATCTAGAATGACCTCCATTGCTGCTGTTGGACAGGTTCTCATGGCTCCTGTGATGCAAACGCATGCTAGTCTCTGGACTTTGCATAGGACTATACCGAGTGGTGCATCATCGGTTGGAAACGTAGGAAATGCCATGCAAATTTTGACCTATCCAAATAATGGCTCCCTTGTTATTATAACTTATAATTGTAGTGTTATAACCGAGAATACAACACAACAAATTGCATTTAACATTAAAAGCATTTGCTTTTTATTGGTTTTTAACCTATTTTAGATTGACAGGGTGTCCCAGAATTAAGTGCAAATATTTTAAAGTGTGGTAGATCTCGATAAAAGAAACATATTTTCTCTTTATCGTTTTTTAAATAAGTCCAAAATAACGGAGTTATTTCACTTTGAAAATTTCCAAAAAAAATAATTTTTTGCTAAAATTTTGAGAACCACTGGGTCTTTTCTTAATTTTCTTTCTTGTAAATTTAATCTAATACCTATGTTTTCATATTATGAAGAAATTATGTTTTTTTATTTTTTAACTAAAAACTAAAAAAAATTCCAAAAATTTTCAAAAAATGCCGAATTTTCAAATTTTTTTTTTCGCGAAAAAAACCTCATAGGCGTGTTTCTGGGGTTGAACTATACTAGCAGTTAAAATATTTGCACCTATTTTTGGGACACCCTGTATTTGAAAAAAACAGCATACGCAGATCTTTAAAAAACATACGATATAGTAATAAATCAGTAATAAAACACTAAATCACCACAATACACCAAAACACTTTTACTTTTACACTGGACGCGCGTCTTGCTAGCCATGTTAACATCATCAGCAGAAAAGTAAAGATTTCAGTTAACGTCTCCTTTTTGCTGCCAGGGCTAATCTGGACGGGGCCTACTTTGTTTACGCGGAATCCGAACCGCGGTCCTCGGCCACACATATCATGGTCAGTGGCCTACCGACTTAGGAAGTGTCTAAATTAACTCTTACTCACGAGATATCCGATCTCATCCGGCCTCGAACCGGCGTGAATGAGCAGTGTGTATCACTAGTTTTTACACTTTTCCCTTGGACAACAGCACGATACAGAGTTTCGAACCGGTCACCCGTCCATCCACCAGTATCGCCTTACGTCGCTTAACTTCGGTGTTCTAATGGGAACCGGCGTTCCATACGGCCGTTGCCTTTCATCAGCGGATGATTAAAACTAAACTAATATCTACAAATTAATTAAACAAGTCTTAATCTAAAGATAGTATGAACAGAGACAATGGCCCAATTCCTTCCAGTTCTCTGTTCCTACTGCTCTAGTTTCGGTAATTAATTGTTACGCTGTGTTAGCTTTAACTCGGTTGGCTACTTTTTGCCACGCCTACTCGGGGTCAACTGAGCGAGTAAAGTACGTCTGCTGAATCTGTGTCTATGAAAGGAATGCGGACAAAAAATATTTAAATAAACAGCAATAAATTTTATACGTCGACTTGACGAGTACGTCACCGCAAATCGCTCCGCCCACTCATTTTAATGGCTACTTGCAAATTTGTCGAAGTTTTATTGACGGCACGCGTCGTCTAATTTTTTAAGAAAAACATGGAGAGAATATCGTTTTCCCTCTCTCACGGGTACCCCGTAGCTACAGAACGGACAGACGTACTGTATATAAACGCTCAATTTGTAGATATTAGTTTAATTTTAATCATTTGCTGATGATGAAACAGGGGAGCGAATATTTGTACAGTCCAAGATTTGCATGGAATTTCCTATGTTTCCAACGACCATTCAACACCCAGTATATATAATTTCGGTAGATTCTAGTAAGAAAGGAACCAAGGAATTAAATAATATACAGGGTTATCCAATTTTCGGAAAAAACTCCATATTATATTTTATGTCAAATCCTCCGAGTGAAAACAATATTCATTATTCCTTTTAAAAAGCTTCAACTTTATGTAAAAATATATTTGTATTGCCCTGTATATCTATAAAAAGGGTATATTGTGCAAAAATTTTACAAAAAAAATTGGAATGAAAATCTCAAAAAGGAAACCTGATATGGAGATTTTTCATAACACTGAGTCACCCCGTATATATGTATACAACTTGTACCATGGTATTGTACCTACTCCAATCAGTATTTTTTTATTTAAACAAAAAATGATCAACAAATGGTCTAATCAGTTATCTACAATTGTTTTTTTATTTTCGTTTATCACTATAATTACAAATTTATTTCATTCGAGTTATTGTCTTTTTGTTATCTATGTATTCTAATTGTAATTTTTATTAATATTTTTTTTTTAAATTTGACGCATTCTATACAGGGTGAGTCTTCAATAAGTGCAAATATTTAGATCTCGATAAGAGAAACATATTTTCTCTTTACCGTTTTTCAAATAAATCCAAAATAACGGAGATATTTTACTTTGAAAATTTTAAAAAAGTTGATTTTTCTCTTAAATTTTGAGAACCATCTTTGGGATCTTTTCTGGGATCTTTTCTGGGATTTTTTTCTTGTAAATATAATCTTCTACCCAAGTTATAAAACTATGTGAAAATAAAAAGAATACGTGTTTGTAGAGTTGAAATATACTACCCCTGAAAATATTTGCAAGACTCACCCTGTATAGAGTAATAGAAACATAGCCGATGAATCTCAAATTTTTAGTATAAATGTCATAAAATAACTGTAATCTAAAGACTACACTATCGTTACTTAAAATGCTTTAAAAATAAGTAAAAAATAATTTTTAAGTTTTCATTAAAATTTGAACCACATAATTTGTTTGCGAAATAAGAAAATAGAAACAATATTTTTTGCTTTTCTTAGTAAAATTTATATACTGTATACTGTATAGCATACGATGGAAAACTACGTCGTCAGAGTTAGCTTGGAAATGAAGATCGCTGTCATTTTCATGTGTAAGCCAACTTGACGTCGCTTTTTTTCGATCATCTGTATGATTTATGATGACAAATACATACATTAAACACATTTTCAGGATATCCGACAAATGAATTGCCAAAATCTGACTACATTCGTCACTTGCGACTCGGAATGTTTCAACAATCCAGACACTTTCTACATGACTTCCTGTAGTCTGGAAGCTTTTCTCAATTCGACGGAGAAAAATGTCTTAAAGTTATGCCCTCAAGAGAACGAAACTTATCCACTGATGAAAGGAAACCAAAGTTGCCATATACGATGTATTGAAATTATCGAATCTCAAGACAACAAATTGTACCAATCGGTGGCATTTTGGAGTTTCCTTGTTTTGATGTCGATAGGAACTATTGGGTTCAATGTGGTTAATTCTATTAGTGATGCAATTTGCTTTGATATTATAGGTATTTATTCTTTGTAAAAGGTTTTGGTCATTTTCTACATGCTTTTAAATGTTGCTTTTCTAAAACTAGACTGAGTTTAAAAGTGCTATGTTGATTCATGTTTTTCTATATTTTAGGAGATGAATATGACTATGGCAAACAGCGTGTTTGGGGAACAATTGGATTTGGGACAACAGCTTTGATTGCTGGGTATGCTGTGGATATGTTTTCTGGACAGACCATATCATACATCCCGGCAATTATTATCATGCTAATTTGTTCCACTTTTGATTTAATAGCATGCGTTAAATTAAAAGTAAGGAACAGCT